TCTCTGCCCCTCCCCCGTTCATGCTCTGTCTCTCTCTGTCCCAAAAAATAAATAAATGTTGAAAAAAAAAATTAAAAAAAAAAGAATTTGTGTTTTCTGCCAAGGTTACAGAAACTGTTTCAGGAGCATGCTTTTTTGACCCACGGGTCAGAAATGTATAGAACTCAAGAAGCCGCCTCCCGCAGCTCTGTGCAGGTCTCTGGTTGAATGATTAGGACAGGGAGTGGAGCCCAGTAGGATCTGTAACTGGGGACCCTCGTGACTGCTGGGGATAGATATGTACTGACAATATGATACTGACATACCATTTTTAAGCACAGTTGGAAAATGTAAAACTTTGAGAGCTGTGAGGCCCTAGGAAATGAACTATGTGCTTGAAACTGACTTCAGTCTGGTCCAAACACAGAATACAGAAGAGTGAGATTATTATCTGTGGCTTTCGTGAGTGGTTACCCAGTACAGCGATTTTTCTTCTTAATGACCAAACAACGAACAAATGCAAAAAGAAACCGTACGGAATGTCTTTCACCAGACCAAAGGACTCGGGGAAACCTGACCTGAGCTTCGGAGAAAGGGACCACCGAAATACTGTTTTCCACCAAGATGGTTGCAATTTCCCCTTCCAGATCCCCGATTCTTCCTAACACACGCACAAAATGTCCATTTGGATATACGGATGTTGACTCCCAGGAGTCGATGCGCACAACTACCCTGAAGTCCTGCACGAAAAAGAGAAAAAAAATCCACTAGCCCAGCACCGGGAATTAAGTGGGTCAATAAGAAGCACCAAACAAACAAGAGATAAACAGCACCCAGCTCCAAAAAGAGTGGCCGATTTAACAGTGGGTTTTGTGTTTTGTTTTCATTCTTGCTGTTTTACTAAATTGCCAGATGGTTATGTAAAGGCCTGGCCCCGATGCTTTGGAGGGAGGCAGTACCTCTCTCCATCAAATAAGTAGGCTGGAAATTTTATTCTGTTAAAGAAAGCCAATTGTGGGGTGCCTGGGTGGCTCAGACACGAGTCTGACTCTTGGTTTTGGCTTAGGTCATGATCTCACAGTTCGTCGGATCGAGCCCCACGTTGGGCTCTGCACTGGCAGTGAGGAGACTTCTTGGGATTCTCTCTCTCTGCCCCTCCCCTGCTCTCATGCAGGCTCTCTCAAAATATAATAAATAAACTTAAAAAAAAAAAAAAGAAAGCCAATTGTAACACATTCTAGTCAACGTTCACAACACAGAGGAAAACCTCAGTATGCATAGTGCAAGTTCAATTTCAAAACAAAATCTCAATTGTGGGAGCATGGGAGATACATCCTACTTTCTTTGAAGTTACTCTCTAATGTTTAAAGACATCTGTTAGTGGGGAAGGAGGTATCAGCGTGAACTGAACCCCACAAGCTCTCAAATTTCAGCAAACCCACGGGTCTGGAAAGCAGTGCTTACGCTTGGCCTCAGAGAGCCCGCGGAAGGCTTCAAGAGATGCAAAAGGTACACGACGACCCAGTTACTGGCTGGGGACGTCCTGCTTCGGTGTCTCATTTACAAACTGCACATATCAAATTGCAGATATCAAATTGGACGATGCCTATACGCTTCACCACAGTACAGGCTAATTTCTAACTTTCTCGTGTATGACTTCTCCCCAGTGCTGTATTCCTTTATGGATAATCGATTCGGTGAAGTATCACTATATCATCCCTCCAGGGCAGAGTGATCGTATTTCTATATCACTTGCTGGAAGAAAGCTTGTTAGTGTTGGCAAAGCATATCTATTGAAAGTTTCTGTGTTGGACAGCTGGATAATGTATGCACTCTGTAGCTGTCCTACACAGCTCTTCCTAGGGCAGTTTCTCTCTGGCCTTCATTTATTAACCAAGGACTATTTAATAGATGGTTCTATATATTTAGAATTTAAAAAAAAACACCAGGATCTCGAAATGCTAGACGCCACCAATAATTTATCCGTTCTTATGCAAAGGAATTGACAGGGTTTCCTGGGATAGCTCAAAAGCTGGCAAACACAAAAGCTGGGGAACAGGAGAAGTACAATGTCAGCTACCTGGAGGGTTTCTGCTTGCTGAGTGCTAATTCGGATCTTGGGGATTCTGTAATCCCAAGGCGTAACTAGGATTTTCTGAGCATTTTTGCCCTGAGATTGGACCTCTTCTTTGGATGGAAATGTCACCACGTAATCCCGCCAGTTCTTCTGAAGGATGCCCACCACTCTGCCTTTGGGAAAACAAAACAAAAGAAGGCCTTAAACTGGTGAGATGTCACCTATCTAGGCGCTGACTAGCTCGGCAGTGAGGAAGAAAACAGAAAACACAATGACCCGTTCGTATCAAGCACACACCCACACAAGTCGAGAAATGCTTAAACGTTCGCCTTAAGATGCCTGCTAATTTTTTTTGAAAGATCACTTTTTTTTATAACATTGTCAGGATGCCCTCCCTACTGTGGGGTCCAATGTGACATTTAGAATCCATCAGTCCCACTTTCTCCTTTGCCCTTCCCTTATCAACCTCAGGTTTAGGTATGTTGGGAAAAGCCAGTAATCGTCACTTTTTTCAACTCACGCCCTCTCCTGTGCATTTTCCCTTTCTTGCATTTTCCCACCAGCCAACATCATTTGGGCCAACCTTATATACAGAAAAGTATTCTAATCATAAGCCTGATATACAGCACTTTCAATCATCATGGATTACGGTCAAGAAAAAACAAATTTTAATAGTCAAAAGTGCTATCTTTCCACAAATATTTATTGAGCCCCTACCAGGTATGAGGCCCTGTTCTAGATGCAGGGAATGTAGCAGCATCAGAACAGACAAAGTCCTTGATTTTCTGCAGTGGACACTCTAGTCTGGGTGTCTGTGGGGGTGGGAAACAGACAAGAAGAAGTAAATACAGGGAAGGGAATGATGTTTGCTCAGAAAGATATCAAGTAGGGTAAGGTGACCAACAGTAATACAGGGTCAGCAGTGGCCGCTATTTTATTTATTTTATTTATTTATTTATTTATTATTTTTTTAAATTATCAGGCTCTATCCAAGATTACTGAATCAGAAACCCTGGGGCTATAAGCCCTGCAAATGGTATTTTAGTAAGCCTTCCTGGCGATTCAGATTCCGTCTTTTTTTTTTTTTTTTTTAATTTTTTTTTCAACGTTTATTTATTTTTGGGACAGAGAGAGACAGAGCATGAGCAGGGGAGGGCCGGAGAGAGAGGGAGACACAGAATCTGAAACAGGCTCCAGGCTCTGAGCCGTCAGCCCAGAGCCTGACGCGGGGCTCGAACTCACGGACCGCGAGATCGTGACCTGGCTGAAGTCGGACGCTTAACCGACTGCGCCACCCAGGCGCCCCGTGGCCGCTATTTTAAATAAAGTGACATCTGAGCAGAGACTTGAAGTGAGGGAGGTTGGCCTGAGGAGGTTTGGGGAAAGCTCATTTCCAGTGGTACGAAGCTGGTCAATGTGGCTGGAACAGAGTGATGACAAGGACAGTGACACAAGGCAGCCCAAGCTGGCAGGACCCTGTAGGCCACGGTATGGCCTTTGGATTTCATTTTGAGTGAAACAGGAAACGGCCACTGGAGAGCTTTGAGCAGAGACACACAGGCCCCAAAGACTTTTAAAAGGATCTTTGTGGGGGTGCCTGGGTGGCTCAGTTGTTTAAGCATCCAACTTCAGCTCATGATCTCATGGTTCATGGGTTCAAGCCCTGCGTCGGGCTCTGTGCTGACAGCTCAGAGCCTGGAGCCTGCTTCGGATTCTGTGTCTCCCTCTCTTTCTGTCCCTTCCCCTCTCGCACTTTCTCTCTCACTCGCTCTCTCAAAAATAAACATTAAAAATAATAATAATAATAAATAATTATTTAAGTAAAAGGATCCCCTGTGGCTGGCTCCCGTATGGAGAAAAGGCCATTTGAGCGGCAGGGTGGGGGCAGGAAGACCAGTGAGGAGGCGGCTGGGGAAATCGCGTCAAGCGGTTCCGGCGGCCCAGTTAGGGGAGAAGAGGTGGAGTCTGGGAGTAGAACTGCCAGGACTTGCTGACGTGTGAAAGAAAAACTCGAGGGTAATCCCAGGACCTCTGGGTTGACCAAGTGTAGGATGAAACTGCCATTTGCGGAGACGGGAACACTCGGGGAGGAGCAGGTTTGGGGGCAGAAATCAGGAGTCTGTTACTAGGCATGTTACATGTGAGATGCCCATGGGACACCAGGGGAAGATGCCAAACAGACAACACTGGAGGCTGAGAAGGGGGTCTGGTCTCTAGGCTGGAAAAATAAAGCCAGAGGAGTGAAGGAGATCCCCAGGGAGAGGGGGCGGATGGAGATTCAGCGAGGAGCCCAGAGGTCGTAAGACGGAAAAGCTCCAGCAAAAGGACCAAGGAGGAGTGGCCAGCAGGAGAGGAGAAGAACCTAGAAGCCAAGGATGAGGCAGTGATCTGTTGGCCAAATGCTGCTGACGGTTACGGGTGCTGAGGGCTGTTGGCAATGAGGTCACTGGTGTCCTTGACCAGAGGTCAAGGTTTTTTGGGGGGTGGGGGCCCCTGAATGTAGCGGCTTCGGGAGAGAACGGGTGAAGAGGAAGCAGAGAGAACACAGGATTTCACTGAGTTTCAGAGTCTTGCCATAAACTGAAGCAGAGAAAAGGGCGGTAGCTGGAGGGGATCCGGACTTGAGAGGATTTTTGGTTTTGTTCTAAGAGATAGTACAGCATATTTGGATGCCGAAGAGAATAAAATAAATCTGCAGAGAGGGGAAACTGGTACTGGGGGGGGGGGGGGGGAAAAAAATATATTGTACCATAGTAACTGCACTATCTCTGGAACGATAAATGTTCCGCAGAAAGAATGGATAACTGGGAGACCAGCCGGTGGGCTCACCTGTGGGCATGGGCTCGCTCGGGGGGTCTCCCGAGGCCTTGTCATCACTGTCATTCTCACACAGAGCCGTGGTTCTTCCTTTCCATTCATTTTTAGGGAGCAGTTCTACGACTACCACGTCTCCATGAATTGAGCGGTTTCGAGCCTTCATGCCATGGATGAGGATGTCACTGGCCAAACCTGTGATTGGGCGGGGACACAGAAACCCCATGAAGCCACAGGGGAGGCCACACCCGTGACGCCTTCCAAACAAGGAAGCGTTCCTGCAAATCCAAGCTTTCTCCTCTCAAAGGTGCAGTCAAACCTTGCTCCACAAGTTAGGAATGAAGAAACACTGCCACTGTGCCATTTTATGTCACATGCTTTTCTAAGGTCTGACCATCTTTTCAGGTGGGTGACGGTGCCCTGCATGAGACTACATAAGCCTGGTCTGGAACTCTGTCACACAGCCACAGGGGTCAGGCGAGAGGTCAGGCGGGTCAGGCGAGGGGTCAGGTTGTCACACAGCCACAGGGGTCAGGCCAGGGAGGGGTCAGGCGGCCAAGGAACCACGGCTACTGTCAAACTCTCGAGCATAAGCCAGAGAAAGGCACCACTTCTCTTTCTCCTTCAACCCAGCCCCGCTCCCTTGACTACCGGGGTGCTTTCTACCCTGTCCCTGAAGACCTAGGAACTATACTCTGTTACGATACAACTTATTTACACGTCTTCTTCATTTTTATCACTTTTATTTATTTTTTTTTAATTTTTTTTCAACGTTTTTATTTATTTTTGGGACAGAGAGAGACAGAGCATGAACGGGGGAGGGGCAGAGA